CTTAGTTCTTCACAGAGCAGACTGAGATTAAATTACACAGAGTCAGACTACATCTACAGATCAGGCAATTTTTGACGGCAGATTTTAGATTTTATATAGGGATATTAGAGTAAAAAACATTGAATTTTAGGATTTGGATTGTGAATAAAACTAATGGGTCTTGCCAGTCAATGGTCTCACCTGCATTTGTACAATATAATGAGACATGAGGCTCTTTTTGTAACGTATTATAGTGGATATCATAATTTAGTAAGTAGCAAATAGCGCCTTTTTAGAATAAAACACAATAAATCTGATAGTGTGCTCGATAAATTAACAGTAAAAACCTTAAGTTTACAAGTTTGGAGTGAGACTGTCAAGGACCCCGCCTCCATCCACTGTTGCTCTGGGCAGAGGGATAAAGCTTCTCTCACTTCCACATATTCATTTACCCCCTACCATCACGCCAATTGAACCAGGGAGTCTGGGGGTAGGCAAATTGATATTCACCACACATCTCCATCCCCCAGCCAAAACCATCCCCACTGGAAACATTATTTCATTACATATATTATGCATTCAGCAAAAGGGAGGTAGTGAATGTGCGCTATGCAGATGCCTGCGTGTGGGTGTTGGCAAACTCAGATGTTTCCCTCTATGTATACATGACTGTGACATGCCTGTTGTGTTTTTTTTTTTTTTATTATTATTATTATTTTTATAAAAAAAAAAGAGGGTGTAAAACAGATAAAATGCCCCAGGGGTCCAGAGTTAATGGTACTTGATTTACTTTGTGGAAACAAAGAGAAAATATTTATTTCATACAGTTTTGTGTCAACACGAAAGAAGTGATATTTCAAGTTTTACCATGCGTGGGGGAAAAAAAAAAAAAAGTTTCCTACAGAGTTATGATGAATTTTCTCTGTTCATCCGAGTCTTCGCGTCCACATGTGGATGTACAGACTGTGCCTCAAGCAGAGCAGGAGATAAAGAGACACAAGAGAAAGGAAACAGACCAGAAAGAGATGAAGATAGAGAAGGGCAGATCTTACATGTGACAAGCTGCTCTTTGGGCCCAGGTCCAGATGTCACCAGAGCAGTTTTTGTTTGTTAATGTCTTGTTTTAAAAGCCCCCTTAATAGTGACTGCCGCCTTTCCATTAAGTCTTTAAGTGGCTCAACACAACATAGTCTTGTCTGATTTGAACCAGAATCAATTTGGAAAAGAAACCATTTTGCTTCTGTTTAAGCACAGCTCTGTCTCTGCTGTGGCATGCTGACCTTTCCAGAGGTCTGTCTTGTGCTTCTAGGCGGGGCTAAACAGAGGATATGCTGGGCTAATTAGACTGATTGACGTCAGAAGGCACGGTGGCTTGTATCTGAACCGTTTGTCAGGACTCACAACTGCATCTCTGTTAAGGACTCTCAGACTCACAAGTCACTCTGATTTCATCTTTTTGTGCTGAGCATAAATTCTTTTTTTGCTCATTTTTCTAGCATATGGTTTGCTTTTATTTTTCTAATGGATGCTCTCTTTTTTTTCCCCTTGTGCAGAAATTGAAAAACAAAACACCTGCTTGGTGGTAAATAATACAGTTAGCTTTGGGTCGACTTCCGCTTGGGGTCTTCCTGTACTTAGGGAAAGGTTTCCTTCGCTCAGACTTGGAAAAGTCTGAAAAGCAGATGCACTGGGTACATCAACCACACATCGTGTATTTGGATGCTCTTGAGTAAGATTCCTAATTTAGAGTCTTAAAAGTGACTGTCTGCAAGAACAACTTCTGTCTCCTTCCCTCCTGTTAGACGCTTATTGAAGATCAACCATCCCATCAACTGTCTACTTTACTTTATACTTTTTTTCATCTATCCCATGCAGCCAAATATTTTGTGATTGCACATTGACCATGGTGACACTTACCTAGAGGAGATTGGTGAATTTTTAACCATGATCAGCTGGTTTAGTCATATGTCCCAGCTTCTCACACAGATTTAAGTTCATAATTTGACTATATCACTCCAAAACCCAATACTTTGACAAAAAGTATTTGTCAATACTTTTTAGGTATTCATACATGGACCATTATTGGTGTGCTTTTGATGTCCTGCACATCTCATACATATTTGTGCTTGACCTGTGACATTAGTAAAGTCAAATTGGACTTACTACAGAAATTTAGAAAAAGCTTTAACTGCAAGAAACATATATTAAAAGATAAAATATAAAAACAGATAAGGAATTCTAGTTTAAACCTGTCTACATAGAGCAACATAAAGGTTCATGCTACATGTGAACACACCAAATTTATGCACTGCATTGTCTGACTGCTGGTACAATGGCAGTACAGAATGTTGGCAAAACAAATAGGTCCATTCTGTCATTCCTAACTAATGTGCATTTGAGGGAATGGAAAAAAAAAAGTCCTCTTCAAGTTGCATTAGCTTCTTCATCTCCTACCCATTTTCAGTTGGTCTTACTATGAATTTGTGGTGCAGCTTCAACATTTATGTGAATGCATAAAATGCTCTGAGAGCCGTTCAGTGGGAGGAAGTTCACCAGAGATCAGGATTCGGTCCACATTCGCAAACACTCATGCATCCAGAAAAATGTGGCATAAAGAGGGGCCTGGCGGAGAGAAATCTCACCTGCAATTCAAGCGGATTACTCTGCCCTTTTATTTGCTCTCGTTTGGTTGCAGGGGGGAATGTGCTCCACTCTGACCTGGGGGCACTCATCCAATCAGCTCGCTATCTGCTGCAAGGGCCTCCATAATAGTGACATTTTTCCACCTCGTCAATAAAGTGGTGAAAGCCACCCTCCACCCGCTACTTGACCATTTAACTTCTTCCTGAAAAGGCCCTTTCTTTCTGTCTGTCTCTGTGTCTGACTGAAATCAATAAAGGCAGAGCAAGGAAAGAGGACGATCCAACAGCTGCATTAACTGGTGGTCTTGACTGTGGTATAAAGTGGGCTGCTGGCAGTGGAGCCTCTCATTCGTCCAATGGTGCAAGAATTCTGCTTGTGATCTACATTATATGTTGTCATTTTGTAATGCAGTGGAGACTGAAAAAAACATTTTTTAAAGTCTCAACAGACATGAAGGGTCTCAGTCACATACACACACACACACACACACACACACACACACACACACACACACACACGTGCAAGTGAGTGACAATGAATATAAAAAAATGACAATTTTAAAATATTCACGCAGAGAAAAAGGTGACAATTGTATGCAAAAACACATTAGCACATATATAAACTCTGCAGTCTCTAATGATCATTGCTTGCCATGACTCATTTAGCAGCTGCATCCACACATCACGACATGTCTGCAGTGATTGACATAATGGCATCAGAGTGAGAACAAAATGTCTTCCAATAAAGGAGCAGGAGGGAGAAAATGAGAGAGATGGGTTACAACTCTGCCCGTGCTGAAATGAGTGTAGTGCTTTGTTTGGTTATGCTGTCTGAGCTGAAATTGATTTCTGTGAGAAGCATGCACCAAAGAGCCTCTGCTTTCAGATGAAATAAATAACATACTCTTGTGAAGATGGGGGGGGGGGGATGTGGAAGAAGGAACAGAAGGGGGAAAATGGGATCAGGGAGGAAGGCAAGAAACAAAGATGGATGGGGTCAAAATGATTTTATGAGGGGAAAGAAAAGCAGGGATGAAAAAAAAATGGAAGGAAATGTCTAAATGTGCCATACTGAATTCCATGTGTTCAGTCTAGTGCAGCACTGAGGAGACACAGACTGGGAGACATCTGGAGCAGAGGAGGATAACAGCCACATGCCGCTCTCCAACCACAGACAACATGATGAGGGATTAAACTTCATTGCAACATGTTATGGTAATGAATGGTCTGTGGCCAGTTCTGAACGTGTTAGAGTAATCACCACTTTGCAGCATGTGTGAGTGACACTTTTTGGATGTGCTCGCAAAATGCTTGTGTCTGCCTAAGCGAGTGTGGAAATAATATGGTTCCCTACAAGTTGGCCAAAGCAGAAAACATGCAAATTAAAACGTGCAACATTTAAGCAGTTGGTGTAGTGCGCAATATCTCTCATAATTTGTTGAACATCGTCTATTAATAGAAGACGGGCAGGACCAGACCTTGTGGTCTGAGCCAGCGTCTGGGCATCTGGGTCTTGGACCGGTGCCAGAGAGGGAGGAGAGCAGACGCAGTCAGACGTCCCAGAGTGGTGAGGTTGACTCTGGGTCACACTGGCTGCCTGGCCTTATGGCTCACAGATGTTCATCTGCCTCAACAAGAGTTGTGTTTCTGGAAAAATTTACACCATGTTGTGCCGCATGCTGGAATAATCTCCTCTGTTTAATGAAGATCTCGTAGATCATCGATCAACAAGACGCAAGCAAAAAGCATGTTTGTGGATTGCAAAGTCTCCCGAAAGCAATGAATCTGCCACGCAGTTGCACAGAGCTGAAGTGTTGTGGCGTTCGAGTCGCCTGCCCCGTCAGTCTTTCACAAGCAAAGCGACAGATTGTTATTGCTGTACAACAGAGCACAGGAGGAGGTTGTAGTAGGGAGTGGGGGATCAAGGCAGGTACGACATTTCTGGGGTGGTCATGACAGAAAGAATGCATTTTCTTAATTTGGGTTATATATATATATATATATATATATATATATATATTGTCCTCAGAGAAAAGCAGAGGTACAACGCCATGAAGCAATAAATTAAAAGTCCCTTGCCACTTCCTAAATTAATCTACTGTACAAAGAGTGGGAGCAGGTGGAATTACACTGCAGGCAGAGTGAAATGACTCATATATTAAACTGCTGATCAAAACGTTTGCAGTCTGGAAAGTGTTGTTGAATCTAAGAGGAGTTGTTGTGCACTAAGCAAAGATATAAAAGAATGGCAAAATGTGCCAGTCCTATCCTTCGCATGGCACAAGGCAGGCAGCCAATCAGATGGGTGCAAGCTCTCTTGCAGGCGAATGACATGGAATGTTGCCTGTCTCGTGGCCCCGCCTTCCGTCCCCACTGAACTGCTGTTGCCCATAATGATTTTATAAACATTTTGCCAGCAGATCAATACCTGTATTGATCAGGCATTGTGAGAGTGATCCGTCTAAAACCCAGAACAGCCTAGAGCTCAGAGGTGGGAGGAGCAAAAGAGAGAGGCTGCATAGAGGATGGCGAAGGAGAGCGAGTCTGCAACCACAGTGAAAAGGAAAAGAGGTGCAAGGTTGGAAGAGACTGAGGGAGAGGCGGACACAGAGACGGAAGCAGGTGAGGATGCAGATTTCGGGAAATGCTGCCAGGCCGTTGGGACTGAGGAAAACAAATGGTAATTGCTTTCTCGTTAACAAAGGGGAGGGGGGCGACGGCAACTGATGACAGTTTCGAGACAGTTAATGATGACAGGAAAAGTGGGAATAACTTTGTAAAATTCCTGCTCTAGTTCAGGCCTGCTATAGCATGTGACACAAACAGGTACGCCACTGCATGTGCATGACTGCATGAGGTCAAACGAGATTGTTTTCTATACATCTGTGTGGGATGATAAGATAAGTGATGATAATGTAAACAAATTCACAGAGGTTTATGTCCAACTACAGTTTGATTTATTTTTTCTGTTATTCCTAGAAAGAAACTCTTAAAGGAGAGATGGAGGAGACTGAGAGCACACTGCTGCTCTGAATCTAATTGCTGCAAAATGATCAAAACTTACATTTCCTGAAACGTCCTTAACATTCAGGAGAGGAATAATTCCACATCACCATTATGGAAGAAGAACTGCAAAAGCATATTAAATGTAAAGGCAATACCAAAAGACAAACATGGCAGCATGAAGACCATCTTCAACGTACAGGATTGCTGCCGCTTTGTAAACACGTGGATGGCTGGCTTTTTGGAATACTTTTTTACTGTCTGGGAATTCACTAAATTGGATGATTGCTTTACATTTAAAACACAAGTAGGAGATTTACTGAAGCGATGACTCACTGGATGACTCAACACAAGTTCAAGGCCACAATCTGCCCTGCGCTGGAGGACAAGTCAAGCGCTTTTGCTGTCATTCCCTCGTGCTGTGGGGAAATCAAGCTTCATTGATTGGTTTTTAAATAAGATGTGTTGTGCATAAATGAGGATCTGAAGGAAGATGAATTCCTCAAACGAACTGTGGGGGAAGACCTTGATGCTCATGAACTCGTGTGCTCTGGAGACTAGTGTGGAAAGCACTCAATGAAAAAGGCCTGATGGCTCATGCCTCTTTGACCAAGCTAAAAAAAAAAGAAGAATTTAGGCTTTTCAAGGCTTATTAAGGGCAAGAGACGCTTGTAAACAATTTTCCTAATGAATTAACAAAAAAACACTGAGCAAAAATTTCATCAGCTGACCTTTTGTGTAGCTTCTCACCTTCCAAACAAAGCATGTTACTGGGATTTTATGTAATAGACCAATACAAATGACGCATTATTGTGAGCCAAAAGGGAAAGGATAGAAAGACTTAAAAACACTTCACAAATAAAACCTGAGAACTATGGTGTGTATTTGAATTCAGCTTATGCTTTTCAATAATTGTAAAACAGCCCTCTACAGCCAGAGGATTGGTTATGATTAAGCTAAATGTGCCCTAGTCAAAATCCTATAATCCAAGTGAGATGCTAAGTATAAAAGTTGCTATACATACAGCTTAGATTAGACTTAATTTGCTAAACGAACACACCAGAAAAACCTTGCAACTGTATTTGCAGTAAGTTTAGGTTATTGTTCTGCTATAAAGTGAATATACACAAAGGTTTCAGGTCTTTTGCAGCCACTAAAGAGATTTCCTTCCAGAACTACTTAGCTCTATCGATCAACCCTTTAACTCTCATTAGCTTGTGAAGTAAAGCATACCCACAGCATTATGCTGCTATGAACATGTTTTACAATACTACCCTAACCCCCCCGAAGCAATTTGCATTGCCTTCTTCAAGGCTTGTGGCAATCAGTAACAATCCTCCCATTAACAATTGCTTACTTTCTGCCACTCTTTCATAAAGACCAGACTTGCAGAGTGCACAAAGAACAATAGTCCTGGCTATTATTCTGAGTAGTAGATGTCTGCAACTACTCCAAAGTTACCATGAGTCTCTTGGATGCTTCTCTGAATAATGCTCTCTGTCATTGGTGGATGGGTTCCAACGATACGTGTGGTATAACATTGCCAATTGAAAAGAGTATACGTGGTGATTTCTGAAGGAATATGGAGCCGATTTGTATTAATTGCATCAGAGTAAAAAGAACCGAACAGAATGTTTTCTATACTTTTAGTTACTTTTTTTTTTTTTTTTTTCACGAAAACACCTTCCTTCTACTTCAGCACTATTTTGTTTTGGGTTATCACACAGTAAACTAAGGTCTGTGGTTGTAATGAGGCAAAATGTGAAAATGCAAGAGCATTAATAAGTTTGGAAGGCATTTCACTTTCTCAGTTAAACACTTAACACATGCAATGACACAGCTTTGTTAAAATATTTTTTCTCAATGCCTGTTAAATAAGAACAACCAATGTTTATAATGGAATGGGAGGAATTGGTGAAACAACATATTAAGCTGAAATAGATTATTCCTTCTTGACAACAGTATGATTAGTAAGAACTCCATTGTTTTGCAACATATGCAATGTTCTGAGTCTCAGACGTTTTCCAGACAATCAAAACAACTTTCATTAAAAACTAAATGTAAATGAATAATAATGCAAAAGCATTGTTTCCCGGTGAGAGGTAGGATGCAATAGTTGATTTAAATTCAGATCTTGAGCTGAAGTTTAAGTCAAGTACATAGAAAATGAGGCACAAGAATCAGTAAGCAGAAGACGTGAAGCTGAATGTGTAGTTAGGATAAGCAAGTAACACCTTAGCTTCGTTTGATCAATGTGCAAATTATGAATCATGAAAGGATATAACTAAAAATTATTCATTATGGTGACATGATAAATTGCACAAAGCTTTTAGATACTATAGCAACATTATTAGAACAAGTGAAAGAAAAGGTTGAAGAAAAAGGACATTGATGTCACTTTCTGTGCAAAGAATTGTGTTTTATTGGGTGAAGTGTTATTTATTCACTGCAGTATTGTATACATTAAAATTAGAGAGAGTTATATCACTGCATAATATAATAACAGTAATATTGGTGCAATGCAAAATCTCAACTGTCTATCTATCAAAGTAAAAGTTAAACTAAATGGGTACATTTTTTTCCACAATGTAGTATAACAATAAAGTGCCATTCTTGTTTTTTCAGAGCTTTGTTAAAGTGAACAAACATAAACTCATCTTTTCATTTGGAATTATATTGCCAAGACTAATGAATGTCTTAGCAGGTGTATGAGCAAATGAACCACCTGCAATTAATGTTTTCACAAAGACGATTGCTCAAAATCCATAGAAACATTACTCTAAAAGCTGGGTTCAAGTATTCTTGATTTTTTTTTTTAAAAGTCAATAAATAGTTCGACTAATTAAAATTGCAGCGTATAAAACAAGTCTGAAATACTTAAATAACCCCCTGTTGAAGCTTCTTAAGCACAGAAAACGCTATAATAAATAGCTTCCTTTGCATCCTGTTTTAACATGATTGACATTGTCTCTCACTGTGGCCAGTGCATGAATTATTACAATAAAATTATTCGACAACAGTTTTGGCCCCTAGAACAAAACATTGAGTTACTGATCATGATTTGCCCTTTATACACATTGGTAATCCTATTGTCTACAAAAGCTTAATTACACAAAGATAAACTCATAAGCATTATCACCTCACTCAAAGACTTAATTCATGTGCTATCAAGGCAAAATTTGTGCACCGAGTCGTTTTCATCTATCCATTCATTCTTTTGATTAATTCCTTCTGTCAAAAACAAACCTTTGGATGAGTGCCAAACATCAAATTAGGGTATTCATTAGACACATCAAACATAAATTACTATTCAATTAACAAGCCAGTCGAGCTGAACTAATCAACTAATTAGGCCATGTGTGTACACAGGAAAGCTAACAAAAGCACGAGTCCCCTGGGAAAGCAGTGAAACCCAGAAGAAGAATGACAGCAAGGATGAAAAGCTACTGGTTTGAGAGGGAAAAGGAGAAAGCCACTAGACACTTGGCGCACGGTTAAGCTGTTTAGCTCCTCTAATCATAAACTTTATTGTGTTGATGCATTACTTTGATCAGTTTCAAACTGCTAAGTCAAATTGACTCGCAAAGCACATAAAACGCACACACACACGCAGAAAAACTGTGCTTAACCCAACATTAAGATTTCAAAGAAAATTGTCTGATAATGGGAACAGATTACCTTTTCTTCTTATTTTTATACAAGTTCAGAGCAAAAAAAAAATAAAAATACTGCATAATTCCACATAGTAAAAACAACAAGGTAATGTCTTATTGTTATGACAGCGGTTCAAATATTATCTGATAGAGAATGTTCAAAGAACTGGGAGATTATTCTATTCTCTCTTTGTCAGAGCTTCTGTGTCAGAGATGGTCTGTCTGTCTGTCCCAAACATACCTTTGGTCCGAAGCAGCTCGAGCCGGCCAGGCTGTTCAAATATCGTCTTCACACACTGACCAGGCTGCAACCTAAGAGGGAAGCAAACATACAATATGCATGCGTTTATACAGTGGAAAACAGCCCGACTAATACTGTTAATCATTATTGTACCATTTGTTGGAGAATATATATATATATATATATATATATATATATATATATATATATATATATATATATATATATATATATATATATATATATTAAAAAAAAAACACACAGTCTGGAGTCACACCCTTTGGACCAAAAATGTGATTAAGATACAAACTGACTGAGACAGTTCTCCCCATTCCACCCATCATATCTAAATGTCTAAGGTCTGCTGGCGCTCCACTAAAGGCCAAAGGCGGCTGTCGAAAGGAGCACACCATTATTGTACCAGTAAATGTCAGAACAGCCCCATCTAATTGTGCCATTACTAATTCATGTTTATTAATGCTGTGATGTATGATGGCTCCACAGACAGACTGAGTTTGTCTGTGCTTGTCATGTAGAGCTTATTCTTTGCTGGTGACGGCTGCAGGGAGAGTAGCTGTTGGGCTGGGTGGTGGGTGTGGGGTAGAGGGAGCATGAGAGCAGCAGTGCCAAGTGGTGTGTGACTCAAGCATGAAGGCGGTTGACTGATGGTGCCGGTGCCTTTTGCTGGCCTAGTGCCAGGGTCCCCAGGTCCCCAGGTCCCTCGTGTCCCAGCCGCTCAGTACCCCAGAGCCTCTGGGCAGAACAACAGTTATTGTTTTCATTGCCGACCAATTAGCAACACTTACGCCTTATTTAGTCATGCTCTAACGTGGGCTAATTAGCTCACATTAGCGCTTGACTACATTAGAGCATCACCTTGTCCCTCGCACCAACACCAGGCGTCATCCTGGGGAAGAGTGGGGGAATGTGGGGGGAAGAGGAGGAGGTGGGAACGGTGGGAACATGAGGGGAGGTGGGGCTGAGCTGGAAGGATTACAAGAGCACCAGCCCAGCTCTGTGGATCAGCACTTTTTAAGAGATCTTCAGGGGCCTGTTGGCTGAACACATAGCAGGAGAAAAGGGCAAATACAGCCCAGTTACACTTTTATAGAATGCTTTGTGGAAAAACACCCCAGACACACACCTTGGTCTGGCAGCTCGGTTTGTCATATGGCTCAAGGGGCTCCGCTGGCCTATCACATGACCGTTGTAATGACCTTAAAGGGCAGCTTCCTCAACAAGCTCAGGCCACTCCCACTGGCTGAACTGTTCAGTGCAAAATACAGCTCGGGTCACTGCATAATGTGATGCATCTGGCCCTCAGGGTGGATATTAAAGCAAAAAAAAAAAAAAAAACATCATCAACATAGAGCAGAAACCAGGCCAGAAAGATGCAAGCTGACAAGCAGGGCATAAAACTGTACTGTGATTTGAGGAATATGAAACTATATGCTGCGATATTAATAAGATACTTTATCAGAATTACCTTTATTATGATCTTCCGGTGAAGTGAGGAAAATAACTAAAACTTTTCTTTTTCCAACAATAAAAAATATTTTTTTTTTTTTTTTTTTTTAAAAAAGCCAGAGCAATGCATAGTGTTATAGCTGTAGCTCAGTGAGTACATGTGAGAAGATAAAGGTCAAAGGTAGGTTCAGCTTAATTTCAGCATCCTATACATATGTATAAACAAAACCCATCAATCTTTTCTGGTTGGAGGGGTATAAAGGAAATTTGAATCCTTAAATATTAAAAAAAACAGAATGAAGAAATATATACACCATATGTCTGATCTGGAAACACACACACAAAAAAAAAAACACTGATGCAAGGGATCCCAGGCATAATTTTTTGTGCTTAGCATTTGACTGGTGGCTACACTCCAATCATTGCAGCGGTGGGTTCTCCTCATCATCTACAACTGCTAAGCAAAGGCGGGGCTATAAATGAAATATCACTTTCCATTTTATCTCCGGGGGGCAAAGGGATGCTCTGAGCCAATCAGAACCTTACAAGTCAACCCCTGGCCTTTTTCATCTCAATATGATTACCATTATCTTGCTGAAAATTAGACACATCTCACTATTGTTCACTACCAATGGGGGGGACAGTAGTGGAGGTTATTTAAAGATAAATGCTTAAGTGCTCATGATGCATGCAGTAATCACACACCAGCGTTCGCGGCAGAATGCAGCACGCAGTCTGATTGGATGAGGTAGATGTGCACCAACAAGGCTTTGTTGTGATGCTTTAATGGCGAATGCTTAGCATGTAAGCAGCTCCTTATTTGGCTGGTAAACCCGTCTGGCAGGAAGGTTTCTGAGAACAATTTTGCATCTCGACGAGGAATTAAAAAAACAGCTTAAATGCTCAATTTGAGCTCACTTTAGAAAGGAAGCTCAGGTAGTTATACAACCTTGATTTCACTGGTTTCCATAGGCAACTGGTTCACTGCTGGTTCACTTATAAACATGAGCAATGAGAGGGATAATGTCCTCCGAGTAACAAAGCCATTAGGTGACAAATATGAATAGAACTCTGAAAAGCTGAAATTACATGACAACATGAGACTTGTGGGTGTAAAAAAAAAAAAATAGTTGAGTGTTAGTCTTTTTATAATCTCGAGTGGTAGAAAAAACTTTTTAACCTTGTTTATGTTGATGCTTTGAGGGCCAGTGGAATGTTTACCAGCCAAGTGAAATACTCCATCTGGTTTTTATGGAGGCCCATGGATCTGTGATTTCTAAAGTATGCATTCATGCGTAGAGTCAAAGTTAAATGAAATAACATCCTCTTTAAATTCTATGACTTCATGTCATTGTAAAAATATAGTTTATTAATTGAAATGCTAGAAATGATGCCCAATATACTTTTTTTTCTTTTTTTTTTTACAATGATTGTATACATTCACAGTGTTTTAAGATTCTTACACAGTATGCTTTACATATGGGAATTTACCATGGACTATTATCCTAAAGAAAGATATAAATCTGTGGGTGAAATATGTATAAAGTAATCTCATAAAATTATTCTATGCAGGCATGAGCTTCTATAGTGTATTGGTAAGTGTTTTGGGGAAAAAGGTAGTTGCCAAAAAAAAAAGTATTTTAAATAATAATGATTTAAAAAAAAATATTATTTAAGATACTTTATTTTATTTTATTTTTTATTTTTGTAATCAGAAAATTCTGATTACGAATATGCTAAGACTAAGTATTTTTCTGTCATTTTTGATATTTTAATTAGACGTATCACTAGTAAGAAAGAGTAAGTTTATCCTCGGAAGCGGGCTTGACATCATGCTTCTATCTAACACCGGCTTTAAGAAAAGTCTGTTCTGATTTCAGAAGTACAATTTTTTTATTATTATTATTATTTCACCAAATATTTGTGGATTTGCTGTAGAGCCCAAAATTATTCATACTCATGCTAGATTTAGATTTTAAGTAATATTTTTATTTCAACTGCAAGTAATTCTAACAACTTGTTTGAAGTGGCCCATGAAGAGCCCTGACTGGATCTGACAGAAGATGTGTAGGGAGTTTTAGGGTAATGGCAAAAAGGATTTTGGCTAAAAGCTGCTTAACAATTATAAGAATAGTAAAATTGCTGTGGTGCCAAATATCAACTGATTATTGAGAAGATCGTGAATACTTTTTGAAATGCCTTTTTTTAAATTTTATTTTATTTTTTATCAAATGTAAATAAAAACAGCTTTTTTCAAAACTTACATCTTTTTGCATTGTTTTCCTTTACTTTGAAACATGCCTGTCTCATTTCCAGTGACAAATTTCTTGGCTGAATGAAAAATAATTTTACATCTAAATTTGCCAGAGGTATGAATATTTTTAGCTTAAATTACTTTTTTTTTTTCTTTTTTGTCGTAAATTGGCGAGTTCTGCTCTCAGGATAACTATGCCTTTCACCTTCCATCTGCTGTCATGTTCCTTCTACTGAAAATATCACTCCTGTCTGTACCACATAATTCCTTAGGGAGCCTTATTATTTCAAAGAGCTTGGTTTAAAGCTACATGTTGTCAGTTAAACTACAGACTCACCAAGTTTATTTGGTTAGGTCCTGCGCACCGCCCAAACTTGTGGGCATGAATATAACGCATCTTCATATACACCTTTAGAGTCAGCTGCAGGTTTACAAGTAATTGTTAAGGTTCTCAAGACCTAATTTGCATCAATGCGTGCATAATGTTCAAGAGGGTCACAGGCTAGTTCTTTTTCAAATGTTATATTTCCATGATTGGCTCATTCTCTCCATTTCCTGTTCATTGTGTGCAAGCAACCCCTATTGTCTGCGGGTAGATTCTGCTCGGCCCTGAGAGGGGCCATCCCCAGGGAATGCCGCATCTTTTATTAATCAGGGCCGCTGCACCACAGCCCTGCTTATCTAATTTAGCAGCCTGCCTTGATACAACTATGTTGGACTTGGTGTAGGAAGAACGGGACATAGGTGTGGGGGTGCAGCAGGGCGCGGATAGAATGGGGGTTGGGGTGCTACCTTTGGATTTTCCATATTGTGGAAGGGATGCTGGGGGTGAGGGGCGGTGGGGGGGGGGGGCACCGAAGGGAGGTAGTGACTTATCAGACACCTCGTCACCAAGTTTTAGGACTGAATCACAATACAGCAAATTACCTTCTGCTGACAAGAAAAAATGAGCACGGCCCCCATACAACAAAAATAGGATTGTCAGGAAGAGGTGACACATTGATTGCTTAGTATGCGCATCTAGAAAGCTGGGGTTCAGAGGCGTCCTTCCTATATATATGTAGAAGAGGCTCAGCAGTGCACAGCACAGCCATAACGGGGAATGAGAAATTGAAATGCCATGTTAGATTGGAGTCTCTTCCTCGAGCCAATCTTTCTAGTCTAGCCAAGGCTGGCCCATATTAGTCCACTACATCATAGTACAAACCTTTGACTTTTAGTAAATAAACCTAAACCTACAAAACATAAAACAATTTGATGCTAGGCGATAGTATAATCTACCTGAACACGATTCGGTGTACTGTTGTATGAATTATATTATTTTTAAGCCCAGATTTTTATTTTGTTTTTTCTTTTCTGGCCGGTCCTCCTCCCCTTTTTCCTCTCATGTGTGTCATGGCTCAGATGAATCAGTGTCACCGGTGTTGAGAGCACTTACTGTCAACCCTTG